GATCAGCCGAAGCTTCTGAGTGGCCTTCAAGGGCCGCCTCATGTAAAGTACATTGCAGTAGTGAAGCTGGAAGAGGACTAGGGCACGAGTGACTGTCTGAAAAACAGGTGTCTCTGGCTTTTTCCTCTATTCTTGATTTCTAGCTCCTGACACACTTGGGAAATACAAGCCAGGCACCCCAGTTTTCATGTAATTCTGACAAACTGTACTAGGCTTCCAGATTTGCCCCAGTGGGAGTATTGAGCAGTGTGCACTAGCAAGCATTGCTTTCCAGTGAAAAAAAGGAAATTCTGCATTATAAATTACCTAATAAGTCATGTAATAAATGTTTTATAATAGAGGACTCTCTGTTGGTTGCATTAGCCAACAAGTCCAAGAGATGCTATCTTGCCTCATAACAGGACCATCTCTCCTGTTCCAGTCCGGCAGCGTTCTTCCTCTTTGTTCTCTCCAGCTATCAGAGCTCAGCAGTGTGGATGCTTTTGATTCTATCAGTCTAGCAGCATGGAATTTGCTTTTTATCTCCAGGCAAAACTTTATTTTGTCCATTAACTGTTATGCCTTCTGCAAATTTCTCAACGCTTAAGCTTCCTTTCTGTGCATTTTTCCTTCAAGGTCCCCCTTTCTCCACTGTGCTTATTTACAATAAGTGTATATCAGATTCCAGCAATTGGCTGTATAGACAGTCCTCTACATTCCAACAGGTTATGTTCCAAGAGGCTGTTCGTAACTCCATTTTGTTCATAAGTCCAACCAAGTAAAAAATGCTCAATCTCCCAACATGCGATGGTGCTGCCAAGCACATGTATGTGGCGCACTGTAAACTAACCCTTTCCTACCTTCTCCCACCTTCTGGGACTTCTAGGTTGGAGTTGAGAACAGGTTTGTTCGCATCAGCGAAAGTTCGTAATTTGAAAGTTCATAAGTAGAGGACAGTCTGTATTGAATATTGTATTGTGTCCCATATGGTGGGATATAATAAATTGGGAGAGATGGGCAAGAATAGAGCAGGCCTTTGTAACTTCAGGTGCAACTTGTAGAGATTTGTCAGACTGCCATTAAAGCTTGGGAGTCCACTGCTTGGACTCTGGCTATCCCAGCAGGATCAGAATTTAGTTGTGAGGGAAGTGTCCATGCTTCTTGTCCTCAAGCATAGTCAAACATAAATGTTAATCTGTGTATCTGGAAGGTGGCATAGTTCTGCAAAAGTGGAACTAGGATTAATTGCAAACAAATGTATTTTATAATTATAGGAAGCTAATTAGTATGGTGGTGGTGATGAAGATGATGATGATGATGTTGATGTTGATTCAGGAAATAAAGCCAGTTGAAAACCATGAATTCTAGTCCTGCCTGAGACATGGAGCCAGCTGGATGACCTTGGGCTGGTCACTCACTCTCTGCCCTAGAAAAGAGGCAATAGCCAATCACTTCTGAAATTTATTTATTTGTTTGTTTGTTAAATTTGTATGCCGTCCACCTCCCCCAACAGGTGACTCTGGGTGGCTTGCTGTGATGGAATGGAATTATGAAGGCCAAGCTCAGGGAGATAAACATTTTCTTAGCTCACCAGAACTGCATGGGAGGAA